TTAATAACTTAAAGGTATTTGTTGGATTCACATAATAACTTAGCAATTTCATGTTAAATAAAGGTGTATATAATTCTGTTTTTCTTTTATGCCTTTTGATTACAGGTCCAACTAAGAGTCCAAATACAAATAAGGTCTTTATTTCAAACTTAATACTGATTTTTTGCTTTTACTTTTTCTTTATAGCTCATATTTTTGAAATTTTTGCACGTTATTTCTTCTTTAACCCAACCTTAACAGGTGACATTATTGTGTTACCAGTTTAATTTCTCAACAAAATAAAAAAGTTTTGAATTTCTGATATGTATTTGCTTCCACAGACTTCGCAGACAACTTATTATTATTATTTTTTTAACGATCCTTTAAAAGTATAAAAACCGTTGTTTAACTTACTAACAGTTCAGGCTGATTTGGGGCTAGATTTGGCCCATGGACCATGTTTGCTGATCCCTGGTATGTACATAGTGTGTAGTACAATGTAGGTGCTAAAAAGGAGCTGGATATTTTTTATGTACTTGTATGGAATGATAGCTCAGAAATACGAAGCAAAAGGAAAAGGTATGGGCCAGTGTGTATTATATGCTTCCATTTAAGTAAGGAGGAGGAAGAGGAAATCTGTCTTTTTATTCATATGTGCATTTGTAAATAAAATGTTACCAGGATGCTCTGTAATGATAAATGGTGCTGGTGATTGCTGCATGCATAGGAAATTTGGGTAGCTTAGGAACAGAAATAGTAGAGAAGCTTTTCCCTGTGTAAGTTTTTATATCTTATTATTCTTGAATTTGTTCCCTTTTTTTTAATTTTTCAATTTAAAATCATTCTCGGTCCATTTTTATTAAAGAACTAAAATTGACCAAGCCTATTTCATGTTGCTATTTCCGGATTGAGGATTTTCCAGTTGAAGCAGAAAAGGTGTAGAAGTTTTTTTCTTTAGCAAATCATTTTCTGACATGGATCCCTAAAGCATTAGTGTTCAGGATGTTAAAATAATTTTGTGGTCAAACTTTAAGAAAGTTCCTTTATAATACTTAGGATTTTCCTGTGCCTTTATCATAACAGTATGAATTTTGAGTTTCTAAGAGGAGCCAAAAACACACAATGTTTTTAAAACTCATCGTACTATATACCTTTTTCCTTGGAGGAACCTATAAAATGACTCATCTAAGGGAACTTCACTGAAAACATATGTTGAAAAAATAGTCATTTTAAGTTTTTGGTCAGTTTAAAATGATTTATTAATTTGATATTGATTTTGTCTTATAGCCAGCTGTTGCACTGCCTACAAGCCTTAGCCTGTCTTCTCCCCAGCCTGCAGCACAGATAACTGTGTCATATCCGACACCAAGGTCCAGTCAGCAACAGACCCAACCTCAGAAACAGCGTGTTTTCACAGGGGTGGTTACAAAGCTACATGATACATTTGGATTTGTGGATGAAGATGTATTCTTTCAGCTTAGGTAAGCTTCATTAGGTGTTGGCAGGTGGCGTCTTTAATATAGCATAAAGCACCTGCTTATAATTTTAGTTGCATTATAATTTTTTGCTTTAATCCTTCAGCCCCTCAGATTATTATAGAAGATTTTTCTGGGGCTATTTCTGTGGCGTAGCAGGTAAAGCTGCCACCTGCATTGCCAGCATTCCATATGGGTGCTGGTTCAAATCCTGGCTGCTCCACTTCCAATCCAGCTCCCTACTAATGGCCTGGGAAAGCCATGGAAGATGGCCCAAGTCCTTGGGCCCCTACACCCATGTGGGAGACCCAGAAGCTCCTGGCTCCTGGCTTTGATTTGGCTCAACTCCGGCTGTTGCAGCCATTTGGGAGTGAACCAGTGGATGGAAGAATCTCTCTCTCTCTCTCTCTACCTTTCTCTCCCTCCCCCTCCCTCCCTCCCTCTCCTTCTGCCTCTACCTCTCTGTAACTCTGCCTTTCAAATAAACAAAATAAATCTTTTAAAAAAATTTATTTTCTGTTAAGTGGACTTCCTTCTTCTCTCCATTTCTCTTACCTTTCACAAGCCCAAAGTGAATCTTATTGTTGAGTTCTAAAAGTTAGAATGTGATGGTAGAGAAGAGGGACACAGAAGATAGAATGGTAATTACTACTTCTATTGCAAACTTTGTGTTTTTGTAGGGATGGTGGAATGTAATTACAGAATGAGTCTAGGAGGTCCAATATGCATGAATTTTTGGCTTTTTTTTTTTTGTATCAAAATAAACTTTTAACCCCATTTTCCACAACTATATTTTAAAGTTCCTTCATAAACCTGCTTTTTAAGAGTTTCCAGGCTTACATTTCCCATAGTTTACTTTTTTTAAAATGATTTATTTATTTGCTTGAAAGAGTTACACAGAGAGAGATCTTCCATCCACTGGTTTACTCCCTAAATGGCCCATTGGCCGGGGCTGGGCCAGGTGGAAGCCATAGGAGCTTCCTGCGGATCTCCCATGTGGGTGGGAGGGGCTGGATTGGAAGTGGAGCAGCCAGGTCTTGAGCTGGTGCCCTTATGGGATGCCATGTCACAGGTGGTTTTACCTGCTTCTCCACAACACTGCCCTGTAGTTTACTTCTAAATAGTTAAGTATATAAATCTTTTTAAGAAAATCTCTTTTAATTATGTTTATTTCTTTTTTTTTTTCTTGCAGTGCTGTCAAAGGGAAAACCCCGCAAGTGGGTGACAGAGTACTGGTTGAAGCTACTTACAATCCTAATATGCCTTTTAAATGGAATGCACAAAGAATTCAAACATTACCAAATCAGGTACACAGCATACTGAGTTAGGTATCGTAGAAACTTGGTAATTGAGCCATTTATTCTTTTTCTTTTTTAAAACATTTTATTTATTTATTTTTGTTAAGAATCAGTCTCAAACCCAACCTTTACTGAAGACTCCTCCTGCTGTACTGCAGCCGATTGCACCACAGACAACATTTGGTGTTCAGGCCCAGCCGCAGCCTCAGTCACTGCTTCAGGCACAGATTTCAGCAGCTTCGATTACACCACTGCTGCAGACTCAGCCACAGCCTTTATTACAGCAACCACAGCAGAAAGGTATTATGTGCAGTATGCCTTTGCTTTTTGATTCAGACAGCTGTACACTCTTTAGTTTAAAATAATGATAAGCATATGCCTTTCGTTACAAAAGAGGTAAGGGTACATATTTGGCGCATCAGTTTAAGATAGTGTTTGGATAAGTCATGTTCCATATCAGAGTGACTCTGTTTCCAATTCCAGCTTTCTCTGAGTGCACACTCTGGGTCGTAGCAAGTGGTGGCTCCAGTGCTTGAGTTCCTGGCTCCTGGCTTTGGCTTGGCCTTGCCCTTGGCTATTTCAGGCAATTGGCTTGTGAATCAGTGAATGGAAGGGATGCGTGTATGTCTGTCTCTGTATTTCTGTCTCTAACCCCTCTCCTGTCTTGTTTTGCTACTTTTCAAATAAAACAAAAAAAATTTTTAAACGATTTATATATTTGAAGGGGAAAGTTACAGTGGCGGGGCTGGGGAGAGATTTTTTTTTTTAAAGATTTATTTATTTATTTGAAAGAGTTACAAAGAGAGAGGAGAGGCAGAGAGAAAAAAAGAAAGGTCTTCTATCTGATGGTTCACTCCTCAGATGGCCGCAACCAGGAGCTAGGAGCTGCGCTGATCCGAAGCCAGGAGCCAGGAGGTTCTTCCAGGTCTCCCACACGGGTGCAGGGGCCTGCTTTCCCAGGCTATAGCAGAGAGCTGGATTAGAAGTGGAGCAGCTGGGTCTCGAACCAGCACAATGGCCTGTGTTGGATCAGGCCAGAGTCAGGAGCCAGGAGCTTCATTCTTGTCTCATACGTGGATGACAGGGGCCCAAACACTTGGACTTTTCCCAGGCCATCAGCAGTGGAGCAGCCGGTACATGAACCAGCGACCATATGGGATGCTAGTATTGCAGAAGGCAGCTTCACTCACTGTGCCACGGCACTGGCCCCTTTTACTCTTTCTTTCTTTTTTTTTTTTTTTTTTTATTATTATTATGGCCTCGTGAGTTTTTATTTATTGCTTAATACCCAATAATTTTTCTTTTTAGATTTTGTAATTGTCCATATGAGTATTAATAATGGGAATTTCTTTCAGGCTGAATCTTGTGTCCTTTCAGATAGCCCATTAAGACTTGAGTGCTTCATTTTTATATAAGATGTCCCAGTGAAGTTGTTGAGTTGAAAGCTGTAAATATATTTCTGAGGTGACACTGGTATTGAAAGGAAACAAGCATCAAAGAAGCACAAGAATCCTGCTGACATACATTTTTCTATTCATGATAAAAAAAAAATCCCTCACGTTGAACTAGGTTTTTTGTTTGTTTGTTTTGTTTTTGTTTTTGTTTTTGTTTGACAGAGTGGACAGTGAGAGAGAGAGAGAGACAGAGAGAAAGGTCTTCCTTTGCCGTTGGTTCACCCTCCAATGGCCGCTGCGACCGGTGCACCGCGCTGATCCGAAGGCAGGATCCAGGTGCTTCCTCCTGGTCTCCCATGCAGGTGCAGGGCCCAAGCACTTGGGCCATCCTCCACTGCACTCCCTGGCCACAGCAGAGAGCTGGCCTGGAAGAGGGGCAACCGGGACAGAATCTGGCGCCCTGACCAGGACTAGAACCCGGTGTGCCGGCACCACAGGCGGAGGATTAGCCTATTGAGCCGCGGCGCCGGCCTGAACTAGTTTTTTAGGAAAAAGCTGTTGAGAGGTTTTCTCTTGTGACAAACTACAGAGAAATAATTCACATGAACACTATCATATGGTTCATACTGAGAATGAGTATCTTTTTTTTTTTTTTTAATTTTTTTTTTTTTTTTTTTAATTTTTGACAGGCAGAGTGGACAGTGAGAGAGAGACAGAGAGAGAAAGGTCTTTCTTTGCCGTTGGTTCACCCTCCAATGGCTGCCGCTGCAGCCGGCGCACCGCGCTGATCCGATGGCAGGAGCCAGGATCCAGGTGCTTTTCCTGGTCTCCCATGGGGTGCAGGGCCCAAGCACCTGGGCCATCCTCCACTGCACTCCCTGGCCATAGCAGAGAGCTGGCCTGGAAGAGGGGCAACCGGGACAGAATCCGGCGCCCCAACCGGGACTAGAACCCGGTGTGCCGGCGCTGCAAGGTGGAGGATTAGCCTATTGAGCCACGGCGCCGGCTCGAGAATGAGTATCTTTATCATAGGCTAGTATTAGAAAAATATCTGCTTGAGAAATGCTCAATCTGATTTATCTTGTTATCTGGAAGAACGAAATTGTGCTATATTTTTTGTTATTTTCTGTGATATAGTTGTACTTTAGAGAACATAAAATTTTTTTAAAGATGCGTTTTATTTATTTAAGGGCAGAGTTAGAGGGGAAGAGAGAGAGAGAGATCTTTTCTATCCTCTAGGTCACTCTCCAGATGGCCACAATGGCTAGAATTGGCCAAATGGAATCCCGGAGCTAGGAACTCTTCTCCAGGTCTCCATTTAATTGGCAGGGACCCAAGCATTTGGATCATTTTACACTGCTTTCCCAGGCACATTATCAGGGAGCTGGATGTGAAGTGAAGCAACAGGTACCTGAATAGGCACGGTAACATGTGTTGCAGATGGCAGCTTAGTTCCGTGTACCATAATACCAACCTCAGAGAAGTTTAAATCTAATAATTTGATTAAATTAAATAGATTTTAAAGAAAGTCACCTTTTTAAATCCTTTTGAACTGATATGCTGAAAAGAGGATTAGTCCTCCCACCCCGCAACTCTGCCTTTCAAATAAATAAAAATAGGGCCAGTACAGTGGCAAAATGGGTAAAGCTGACACATGCAGCACCAGCATCCCATATGGTGGTCAAGTCATGGTTGCTCCACTTCTGATCAAGCCCTGCTAATGTGCCTGGGAAAGCAGCAGCAGATGACCCAAGTGCTTGGATCCCTGCACCCATGTGGCCCAGCTCTGGCTGTTGTAGCCATCTAGGGAGTGAACTGGCAGATGGGTGATCACTTTCCATCTCTCGCTCTGTACTTTTGACCTTCAACAAATAAAAAAATTTAAAATCTTGCAACAAAAATGGGGGGAATGAGTACTTTTTTTAAGATTTATTTTATTTCTTTGAAAGAGTTACAGAGAGAGAGAGGTCTTCCATCTGCTGGTTCACTCCCCAAATGGCCGTAATGGTTTGAGTCCCGGCCGCTCTGCTTCCTATCCAGCTCTCTGCTGTGGCCTGGGAAAGCAGTAGAGGATGGCAGATCCTGGGCCCCTGTACCCACGTGGGGGACCCAGAGGAAGCTCCTGGCTCCTGGCTTCAGATGGGCGCAGCTCCAACCATTGGTGGCCATCTGGGGAGTGAACCAGCAGATGGAAGATCTCTCTCTCTCTCTCTCTCTCTCTCTCTCTCTCTGCTTCAGCCTCTCTGTAACTCTTTAAAATAAAATAGATCTAAAAAAAACCCCTTATCTTCAAAAACAATTATAACTTATGCTTTGATTTAAAAAATGTTTTAGTGACTCCTGTTTACTTGGCTGTTTTCATCTAATTCAGCTAGTTAGTGCTTTTGAACTTTGACTAAAGAAATTCATCCTTTTTTTTTTTTTTCTATATCTTTTAAAGCTGGTTTATTGCAGCCTCCTGTCCGTATAGTATCACAGCCACAACCAGCGCGAAGATTAGATCCTCCATCCAGATTTTCAGGAAGGAATGACAGAGGGGATCAAGTGCCCAACAGAAAAGATGACCGAAGGTATGTTTTAAAAATTATACCGTGGCTGATGGTGATTAGGTATATAACAATAAATGTACTTAGAATGACATTTTTTAAAGCTTATGGTAGTAAATTGGATGTTATGTCTGTTTTACCACAATTTTTTAAAATTGTGAATCTTTTATTACCTATTAGATTTGTTTCATTAAAGAACTTTTCCATAATGCCAGAATATTAGTAATTTTAGAAAAATTTGCTTGAAGTCGTGAAAGGGAAAGAGAAAGACGGCGATCCAGAGAAAGATCCCCTCAGAGGAAGCGTTCCCGGGAGCGCTCTCCCCGGAGAGAGAGAGAACGATCGCCTCGGAGAGTTCGACGCGTGGTCCCACGTTACACCGTTCAGTTTTCGAAGTTTTCTTTAGATTGGTATGTTCTTTTTCTTCTACATTATTTTATTGAATTACTGATCTTGTAATTTTGTATAATTTGGTAGACTAAGTTACATCCAGATTTTTTTTTTCCCCTACAACATTCATTTCATGACATTTAATGCCTTTTATGTATAGGCAGAAATGCAATGTAAAGTAGCAGTTTAGTTCTCTGCAAGGGTACATTGTTTTTGTACATTTATTAAGTTGAAAATTATTGAAAAAGCACCTGGAGGAAATTCCTCTCTGATTAAATTGTATCTTAGAAATCATCAACGTATGCTGTATATGATGGAGCAATAATGCATCAGTGAACCAATTCATGTTTCATTGGTTCCTATTATGAACACTCACAAACCCATAGATTGTACACACAGACACTTGTGTATGTATGCATGTATATACATAAATACATCATTCATGTATTCAGCTTTTGGAATCAAGAGATTGAGGGGTGAATTGCCAAGAGTTTCTGATCTTCACCTGCAGAATGAAGATAATCTCACCTAGGAGAATTATTTGAGTTTGATTTCATATAACTAAAGCACATAGCATTACCGATTTTCAATAATTATTGAAGTGTAGTGGGTTGAGATGGCATCTTGGTATTTGATTAACAGATGGAAAACAAATTGCAATGAAAACAAATGAAATAAGATCATTAATAACATTCAAAGATGTTGGCGTAAGTGCAAATAAGTGTATGTACTATATATTCATTTCTAGATCTAGTAAGCTGGTATATTTTAAGGTGAAGAAAATCTTGTCTGTTGAGTTTGCTTATTTATAATTGCTATTCATTTATTATTGCTTGTGGTCACATCAGCAACTGCACTTAATCATATTAGTTTTGTTAACTTTTCTTATATTTATACTTAACAAAATCTAGCCTGCATATTTCAGAGAATCTCATTGGAACTGAAACCACTTCTTCAGGCCCAAAGATACTAAAGATTTACTTATCTATTTATTTATTTGAATGGAGACTTATAGAGAGAGAGAAAGATACCTTTTATCTGTTGGTTCATTAGGCAGAGTTAGAGAGGGAGAGACAGAGAGAGGGATCTTCCATTTGCTAATTCACTCCCCAAATGGCTGCTGCAGGGACTAGCTCAGGCCAAAGCCAGGAGCCTGGAACCCTATCAGGCTCTCCTACGTGGGTTGCAGGGGCCCCAGCATTTGAGCCATTTTCCACTGCTTTCTCAGTGGAAAGTGGAGCCAGTGCTCATATGATGAGCCACAACAGTATCCCCATAAGCTCAGGCTTTAATCTCTGTTCTGGGAAGAGTTAGTGCATACAAGATGAAATTGAATAGCTCTCATTCCTTCCAAGCTAGAACTCCGCAGTTTCACTTTATCACTTTGAAGTAAATTCCCAGAATATAAGTGAACCTATTGTAACTAGAACTGATTTTAAAGTTTCAAATAGCTCCTCTTATCCATAGTTGTGCAAATGAAGACTTTTTTTTTACATTAAAGCATTATGAGAGACTGTATGCCGAAGAAATGATGTATTTCTTGTCATGTTTTATTTATCGATTACTCCTCTGGGGTAAAACACTCTATCACACATTTTAGGAATAGGAAACTATTACACAAGTTTTTAAAAATATTTTTTTGAGAGCAAGAGCAATGGAGAGAGAGTTCTTCCATTTACTGGTACATCCCCATATGCACATAACAGCTGGGGCTGGGCAAGGCTGAAAGTAGGATCCTGGAACTCGATCTGTGTTTCTCACATGGATGGCAGGGACCTACATATGTGAGCCTTTATGTGCCACCACCCCTTGTGTGCATCAGCAGGAAGCTGGAATTGGTGATGTGGAGCCAGGACTTGAGTCAGGCACTCTGATATGGAATGCAGTCATCTCAACTGCTTTGCCAAACATCTGCCCTAACGCATACTGTTTTTGGTAACAAAACTCACATAAATTTTTCACATTTTCATCATTTTGACAGCATAAATTAATCTAAAGTAGTATAATTGTATCTGTAACCATAACTGACAAGTTTACCACTCTATTTTAGCCTTCAGATAAACATCTCTTCATAAATATTAGTTCATATTTCATACTCTTGTCTTTATTGTCTTTTTAAAAGACAATATTTTTTTTTTTTTACAAATTGTTGGTGTTTTCCAATTTAATTCACTATACTTTTAACATACATCTCTTGGCCTTTTACCAGATTGATTTACCTTTGTGTTCCTCTGCTTTAAAAGCTCTGCTTCTTAGGAAAAAGGAAATCATCCTTTTAAAAATAAGTTGCCAGATAAAAGGCAAGAAACTTATTCCCTCTTTACATAATAATCAGGTATGGATCTTAACCATTCACATAGAGGGGTATGGAGGTGTGGATAATCCAAAGAGCATTTGGATTTTGCTTCCATGTGAATTTCTGTACTTAATTTTGAATATAAATATGCTTGGTCTAGGAGCTTACTATAGAATTAAGTTATATATTTTTATACTCTGTAAACCTGATTGAGAAGCATTTAAATACTGATTTGTTTACATTCTTGTCCTTTCTTTGTATCTATTCTATATGAACTGTTATTTTTTCAAATATTATTCAGTTCCAAGTGAGGTGGAACTGCTTTTATTCAGATCTTCTCTGGAGCTGGGGTTGAAGTTATTTCAGAGGGTCTTCTCTAAAGAATTATAAGCTACACACAAAAATTAAAGAAATAAAGATAACATGTCGGTACTAGCCATTTATTCAAAGCTGTGAGTATACAAATTTAAAGATAAAATTTTCATATGTCTCCATGCAAATCTGTAGCTCATTAATAATTAACTGTCCCTCTTGAGCCTGTTTTTTACTGTTCTGTTATATATTTGGCCTCAGAATTGAGTGAATATTTGTATAACCTTTAGTATTAAGGCTGTTTATTCACTACTTATGTCTGTTTTTCAGTCCCAGTTGTGACATGATGGAACTAAGGCGCCGTTATCAGAATTTGTATATACCTAGTGACTTTTTTGATGCTCAGTTTACATGGGTGGATGCATTCCCTTTGTCAAGACCATTTCAGCTGGGAAATTACTGCAA